CGTTCGGTTCCCCGATAACGTGGCTGCGATTTGTTTTCCATGAAAACATTATTATAAAGGAGAGAAGTGCGTCTAATAAAATACTAAAATAATGTAATAGAAAAGTCCACTTTGTCTGTGTTCTCTGCCTTCATCTCAGGCGACACAGCATAAATGTACACCATACTCCTCCACCAACCAGACTCATTTGGGAAGAGTGCACGCTTGTGTTTTGGAATGGGGGGAGAACGCTGAATCAGTCAGCTTGTGACTGTGGTCATTTCTGTCAATACCAGGCTAATCCAGCAAAGGAAGGGTAACTTTGGCAGAATGCCTGTGCCATCACAGCCCCGTCTACACAACAAAGCCGTAGCAGTGCTCAAGGCAGCTTCCTGTCGCCACTGCAGTTGTTGTAATCTAGGCCATTCTATTTATAAAGCAGGCATCCAGGCAGGCTAAACCAGGGAAATTCACAGAATGCTGCAGTTCCTATATTTTGCATGCAGAGGAGCAATGTTCACAGTACGTTGTACAGGGATGACACATCTCTTGTGTCTTATCTGGCAAGCCCAGGGCTGTTTGTTTGTTTGTTTGTTTTTTAATCAAGTGTCTATTTCTGCCACTTTTTATTTACTTCATTTAATCATTCACTAATTAAAAGATCTGGATTCTGTAATACACTCTGCATTTCGTGAAAATGAGTAACAATGCAGCAGGAAGACAGCTCCACTGAGCCCTAATCTAGTTGGCCAGCAAATTGAAAACAACATTTACATCTTTCTACAATAGGTCAGCTTTGTTATATAGTATTATCTAGTAAAATATTCTATTTAGCTACATTTCTTTAAGGGAACCAAGCAGTGTAAAAGCTGTCCTGTTACAACTTCTGTGACCCTCCGTTCCATCCCCACTGGACTCGTGTGTGTAAGACTACTGCTCTGGATTTGTGCCTATTGTTGTGCTTGGACTGTCAAACCAGGTCACAGCCTATAGGCCGAAGCAACATTCTGAACAGAAAAGAGACTGAGCATGAAGAAAATCGACTAGAACCACAGATTGACAGACATAGCTGAGATGGTGAGATTTATACTGTAAATAGGCACGCAAGATCTGTACTGTGGAATATTTTCTGGGACTGTGTGTACTTTTTATTTTTGAGACAGAGAGAGAGAATAAAAAAACAATTGTTGTGAAAGTGCTGTGTGGGCAGCTGATTGCTTCAGGGTATTAAAGACTCCATTCAGTAAATAACAGATGAGCTCGTAAGAGCAGAAAAAAAACCTGCTACTTTCTAGGAGAGAAAAAAAAGAACTTGACATTGATGAGGTGTAGTAAAGCACTCTGGCATCTTTTCATGACTCAGTGCGCTGACTGAATGCAAAGAGCCGCCCCAACCACACATCACTATAACTATAACACTCTGCTAATGTTTCATCATTTCAACGTTGCTGTTAGAGTAGGAAGCATGCTGAATAGTTCACCAAACAAAAAAGTGTTCCGGTACAGGCTCTCGTGCCCCGCTTTAAAGATTAAGAGCTTTTTCTTGCTAATCTTCAGCTATCATATTTATAGAAATATAGGGAGCATAAAAAGGATCTGATCACTCTCAATGCACTTTCTTAGAAATAAAAAAAATATTACTTTTATTTTTCAGTTATATAAATTGTTCTTGTTGTTGTTATTTTAATGAACTGATCATTCATGACTGACTGCGAGTCACTTGAGTTAGGTGGACTACTGCATGAGAACTAAATTGCCATCATTTATCCTGTCGAAAGTCCAGCCTGGAGAACGATCAAGAAAGCAGTACCCCCTCTCCCTTCCAGCCAAGGAGGCACGGGGGGCTCTCCGCATGGAGTTTATAGGACTCTCCCTGCGTTTCCAAGTCCTCCGGATTGCTCCCACAGTCCAAAGACATACTGGCAAATTAACTGGCTTCTATCACATTGGCTCTGATGTGCACAGCTGTGTCCGTGTGTGCCCTGCAATGGACTGGCGTCCCATCCAGGATGTTTCCTGCCTTGTGCCCACTGCTTGCCCAATTACATTTCCGTCCTCCCCTTGATCTTATACTGAACTGAGCAGTCAGAAAATGGATGGAGGGATGAACGTCTAGCCTATGCCTTTCATTATGGACTCAACCAGTTTCAGGGGTGTATCCATCAATAACATGCCAGTGCGTCTGCTGCTAAACAATATTCTCCCTTTCCTGGTAATAACCATTAACCAAATTCATTTGTTGCAGTTAAGAACTGCATTTCTTTATGCTCCATGAACTAAACGTAAGCTCCTGGCAGACTGACTGGAAAATTTAGCAAATGGAAATTTTAAATACGTTCTGGATCACAGCGCAGGAGAGCCCACCGTGAGATCAGAAGAAGATTCCCAAGAGATCAGAAAGGAAGGACAAGAAAACAAAACATCCAAAGGGAGTCTGAGGCAGCAATGTTGGACTGCAAAAAAAGACAAGGTGTCAGCGACACACGGTCAAGGACTGTTACCAGGAAAAAGTTACATTTTCCCAAAAATGACGTAACAGTGATCTTTGAGAAAAGGAAGAGGGACACTTAATCTGTATGGCTTTTAGACTCATTAACCTTTAGGTTCTACTATATATATCTACATCACCCTGCTTCTGCTAAGCATTTAACGCAAGAAAGTTTGCAAATAATAGGAGTCCATTTGGGCCATCTAGCTTGTTTGTTCCTCTAATTGAGCTCACAATCTTGTCCAGACGTTTCTCAAGAAAAGACAGGGCATCAACTTCAACAATATGGTCGGGCTGCTTGACCCCAGCTCTCCCAGTAAAATAGTAAATACAGCACCACCATGCGGCCCTATAACTTAACATCCTTCTGGAACATCATTACTTTAATAAGTATCCTTACCATTATAAAACGTACCCACCTTAATTTGTCTAATGTGGACATTGAAAATGAAGAGGTGCATTAAAGATTAAATCAGCACAATTATAAAGTAGAGCTTTTCAATATCGCAATAATGAAGGTTTTGTTGCATCCCTCTTGCATGACTGCAGGATACTGATGCAGGGAGATGTTGGCAGTAATTTTACCACACTGCCACGCACCTGACCTTAAACCATTGTGTAGAGAGTCAGATCTGCAGAACTCTCTCTCATGCCTCATCACCTCCCCTTTTGATGTACCAAAAGCAACAAAATCCACAAATAAATATAGCACAAATAGAACGTAAAGTTTCAAACCTTTCCTTTCAGAAAGTTTGATTTCCGTTTTCCAACCTGTTGCTCTCACACGAGCACAATACCTATGCAAAGTCCAAAAATGGTACGGAGTGTACTTTAACCAGCCGTGTTCCCTAAGAGTGCTCCACTTGATCTTGAAATTTCAAGCACTGTAAAAATAAAAGATCTTGCGGAAAAAAAGGGATGACCTTTGTAAAAGCATTCAATGTAGAAATTGAGAAAAACAGGAGGTAATGGTATATTTTCAGGTTATGAGGGTGATGCTGAGAGCTGAGTAGCAGCCATTATACTTAAGATAAAAGAACGGGGTGTTCTACTAAACACTGTTTCCACTAATGCACTTTCCATCTGAGACAGACGTTGAGAGCTTTGTCTTAAATTGGCACACCTGCTCTGTAAAGAAAACAGCCCTCTGAACAGAACAAAACCAAGCTGACTGGGCAATGTGCAGAGTGACGAGAACGTGAAAAGGAAGGTCAGACAGACACCGAATTACTTTAGACTTGAGCTCTGCCACAAAAAAATCTGTCACCTCAATAAAAACCTTTAGACATGGGATCCAAGCAGATTATTGGATTTTTAACAGGAGGATGAAATGGACAGATAGATGCATTATACGATACACATGAAATTAAAGTCATAAGACAACTCGTGGGACTTGTTTTCCGAAGCCTCATTCAGCCACGCTTTCTTCACTCATTAATCACACGAAGGTAAACTAGGCCGTGGAGGGGTAGGTTAAGAGAGGGGAGCGTTTTTATTAAAACGACGTCAGTGAAACACAACACCAGCAACTGAAGATGCAGTTGGCAGATAATTTGATCAAATGGAGATGCGTGGGAATTGCACATTTAAAATCTATAGGTGATTAACTTGAATTCTCTTTTTCGGAAGTGAAAATGCATGGGTAACGGAATACCCACTAAGTTGTTCTTTTCGTTAGGCCCCAAAGAGTTGCCAGTTGGGAGGCTGAAAAAAGTAAGTGGATCAAAATGCATAAAAGAGAGAGGTTGTATTCACTACAGTGCAAGCCAAATCTTTCCATTATGAAAGTAACGACAGAGATGACAAAACGGTGATCCTTACAAATGATGATCATTAGCATGTCAATGCTTTGGTGCTGTTTGATGAGGAACATAACACAGGAGAGGAGATCTGAGCAGGAATCGGCCCACACTGAAAGAGATGCGAGACCACTCTTGTCACTGTTAGCCTGAGTGCACGGCTAGCATTTACTGGACCATACAGCAGGTGCACATTTCCACAGTACATTAGGATTGAGGTCACCTATAGCAGGGTTCTGGCTCTTGTGGAGAATTCTGGTTTCCAGACTCACTGCTCTTCATTGCTTCAGAAACCTCAGTGCACGCGCCTGCTATTTTTCATATCGACAACCTGACAATTGCTTTATTGTACCCTTTTGAGCGGTGCCAGCAATATTAAATTATTGATCCCATGCCTCTGATCAAGGCAACGCACACTTAAAAACAAATAATGCAGGGTAAAGAAAATCCATATTACACATGGCTGGATCAATTGTATGTATTGTATTATTATTATTGTATCATTCGTTACACTGTGGCTGTGTTGTCTGTGTTCAGCTGCTGTTGCACTGCAATTTCCCTCACGGGATCAATAAAGTATCTATCTATCAATACAGGCACTCACTCTGAGTGCAGGTCAGGGGCTGGAGGCCAGGTAGTGCCGCTGGGTTAACTGTTACTGGGATCGCTTCTCCACTGGGTGGCACACAATGACACGACCAGGACACCCTGCCCCTTGGAGCTTCAGTGCTCACCCGGTGCAGGTCCTCCTCGAACGCGGCCTCGTGGACGCTGCAGGCGAACAGGGACGTGGGCAGGTCGCTGAGGTCCATCATCTCCTCCGCGTCCTCGTCGTTCTCCCCGAAGATCATCTCCTCTTCCTCCTCCTCCTCCTCCTCCTCCGGGTCGCTCCAGGCCTTCCCGCCGTCTCTCAGCATGGTGGGATGGGAGTGGGCCGGACACTGCGCGTGCTGAGGGGACAAAGAGTGGACACTCAGCAGCTGCCCTGTCGGTGCAACATCCGACACACATCTTCGTCTGTTTCTGCATCACCATGTACGGTGTGGTTGGGTTTCGAAAGGCGCTTTATAAATCACAGCTATTATTATTCATGATTATTTTCTGCTGGTTCCCCTCTGTCCTAAGCCTTTACCTGTTCTTTTGCAGCCTACGCACGCTGACGCAGCCCGCTACTCAAACATCAATATTGTTGTTGTTGCGGTCCCTTGTTTTTTTAATTGTTTGAGAAAGAATTGAAAGGAAGAAGCAGGGAAGGAAATCACTGGAACAAGAATTGTATGCTTCTTCTGCTAAAGTGTTATTTAAACGCAGGGTGTTTAAAACTAAGATTGCACTGATCTTTTGTATACCCGTGCTCCACCCCGTACAGTAGATGCAATAATAGATATAAGAAACAAAACATACCACATAGGTAACAATCAAGGAATAAAAATGACTTTTTTAGATATTTACGACAATAACGTCTGTCTAACACGTGTTGCACAAAGCAGGAAGGCATTTTTTATGCAGGTAATTATTGTAATATTGTTAGATTGATTGAAACAGAGAAAAAACACATATTTTCCTAGACGACAATCAAGTGTTGTGACAACCATTGCAAAGACATAAAGAAAATAACCACATTTGTGACTACCGTCCTCTTACATAACAGTGTTATTACTATTTTCACAGACAAATACCGCATAGTTTTGAAGTGTGAATACAAACATACGTCAGGTATAAACAGAAACAGCACTGTGAACGACCTCCACTCTAAACCATAATTTGTCGCCCCGCAGCGACATCATTCGAAAAAAGCGGTGAAGTGCAGATGAGGTAAATACACCGTGATGTTATATTTGAGGAACATAACATAAAAGAACTTTACTCTCATGTGGCGTCTACATTTCAAACAATTAAAACGTTCGACCTTCAAGACCATATGTTTTTTAATTAATACACCATATCTTTTTTAATTAATACACCAGCGGCGTCTGATCGTGGAACTCATCGTAGAAAGTTGTTTTATTATTATTCATAAACGTTGCAACACAATCTAAGGAGCACAGATTTGTTCCTCTTAACAAAGTATACCGTTGTTATCTGTGCCACCCCGTACTTAAGTATACCGAGACTGTTCACAACACTGGTCGGAGAAGATTCGTAGTAGCGTTGTAAGAGCCGCCGCTACATGCACCTAAAAATATGACGGGCTAACAACGAAATAGACTTAAAAATAGCCGTGCGTGTGGGACACCAGAGCCCGGCGACACACACGGACCTCGCGTCACACCGGCTCAATGTCAAAATGACAACCGAGCGCGGTTACATCACGCAGCCCCAGCGTAGCCGGCGCGTCTTCCTGCCACCTCCAAATCACGCTCTCCGCGGATCAAGAGGACCCCTCGGGTCAACTCCAAATCGACAACGGGCGGATCGCCTTACTCACCACAAAGCCACCCGCGTTAACAGCCCGCCGACTTTCCGCTGCTCTTGGATTTAGCGCAAAACGAACGCGCAGCGCAATCCTCGGGCTGTTTTGGTGCGCCCGCAGCTGTATTTTCACAGCTGGAAGTTATATCGCTCAATCGCCCGTGCATCACCCTCCCTTCCCCTCCCCACCCTGTGACCGCTCCGGCTGCAGGTGGGTGCACCCTACACCTTCATCAGAGGGCTGCAGGACAGGACCAATGGCCTGCCGCCCCTCTCGCTGGGTGACCAATCGGCACGGCGGCGGACGGGGTCGGGGAGGCTGCGCGTCAAGACTGGTGGCGAGCGCCGGGTGAACACGGCTCACCTGGGAGGATTCACCGTGCCGGCGGCGACAGCTCGGCCAGAAGCACCTCCCGGCGCTCGGCGAGGACAGCAACCAAAAAAAATGAATGCGGCCCATTCGTGGCTGTTTCCATTCGGCGTCTTTCAGTTTTCAGACGTCGCGGATTTCGTTTTAGTAACAAAAAAAAAACCAAAACAAAACTGGGGGATTCGGACGGTTCTTCAAAGGAGCTGCTTCCTGCACGACACGGGTTCCCATGGCTGGCAGTGGCACGTCTAACAAGTACCCGACGCGAAAAGAAAATTAAAAATGAAACGTCGTACAAAGAAATTAAAAAAACGTACGAGGTTAACTAGAGTAGATAAGAGAAAAGAGACTGCGCCTCCAAAATGAAAATGAAAAGGCCATTCTTAATCCTGATAACATCCAAAATATGCTTTAAGAGTCCCCTGTGTGCCGTGCAATCTACAGCGCAAATTTTATCTTATGAAGGAATAATAATAAAGCCTTACACTTTTATAGGGCTTTTCTGGACACTCCACTCAAAGCGCTTTACGGGTAATGGGGACTCCCCTCCACCACCACCAGTGTGCAGCCCCACCTGGATGATGCGACGGCAGCCATAGTGCACCAGTACGCTCCCCACACACCAGCTCTCAGTGGGGAGGAGAACAGTGATTAAGCCAGTTCAAAGATGGAAATTATACCCTACTCATTTCAAGAAACGCCCTGGGATTTTTAATGACCACAGAGAGTGAGGACCTCGTTTTTACATCACACCCAAAGGATGGTGCCTTTTTACAGTATAGTGTCCCCGTCACTATACTGGGGCATTAGGACCCACACAGACCACAGGGTGAGCGCCCCCTACTGACCCCACTAACACCTCTTCCAGCAGCAACCTTATCTTTCCCAGGACATCTCCCATCCAGGTACTGACCAGGCTCACACCTGCTGAACTTGTGAGTCTTTCCGATTAATTTACAATACCATACACTTCAAAGTGTCTCAATAAAATGTGTTTAACTAGAGGTCATTCTTATTTTTTATGAGAAGAAACCTTCCAGATTTACAGTAAGTATTCTAGCATATTTAAGCACTTCTTAAAAGGTTATTACTTACCAAATGCCTTGTAAATGCAAGGTGAAGTGTAACCTGGTGTCTGCCCCTCCTCTGACATTGCCTCGTTTTTTGCTCCACAAGTAGGAACTTGTTCAAAAGAGGGCATCTGTTGCCACGGCAGCAGTCACGCTCATCCGTCACTGTAATTTACAAAGAACATTCAGAGCCGCCTGAACTGTGCACTGATATGATTTTATTTGCCGACACAGCACAGTGTGAAGGGAGGCTAAAATTTGTAGTACTAAAGGACAAGTTAAGCAACGGGCATTCAAGTTTTCCTGTTTTCCTCCCAAATCCAATAATCTAATTTAGTTTGGCTTCCGAGCACCATATAATAAGAAGTGTTCCATTGCTGGCTCTGCTGCGGTTCTGATAATATTGTTAGTGCTGTGTTTCTTGTGTAAACACATTTGTTGTATATACATTAGGGGAACTAGAGCAGAGCAAAAAAAAATCAGAAAGGGACAGGGAGTCAGTATTACAAACTTCCTGGAGACAAGCGCACACACATTTGTGGGTTCGCAAAAATCTGTGTGTTTTTTCCAAATTGATGACTCTAAAATGTTGCTGGACAGCAAAGCAATATGCTTATTTTGAACATCTAAAATGATTTTACAACACAGAAGCTTACTGAATTCTTCAGCACTTTTGAAAGCTTTTGTACCTTGGTCTATGTCTTCTCTGGAGAAATTCACAAAAGATAAAGATTTAAAGTACTAACAATTAGAGTTAGCGACTAAGAAGCCTGTGAACAAGAACTATGTTGGGATCAGCTCCTTGGGCATTAGTTCTGCCATGGGTAATGAGAGTTAAATCATTAACTTTTGCTTAACCGAAAGATTAACTTTGTTGAATTATCTCCAGATTTCAAAACCATAGCCGGGCTCTGCAGGGAAACATCCCACACAAGGTGTTACTATGGCAGACAAGTGACAGGAAGCTGTGATAAAAGGCAGTGTAAATAAAATGATTAATAACCAGCAGTGGAAGGAAAAGGGATCAGTTCATACAGGAATCAGACAGCTCTAGCCAGAGTTTGGGGTATATTCTTGTTATCAAAGATGGGATGCACAACCAGCACAGAAGTCAAAACACAGAATCCTCCAACAAACGCCCCAAAGGACACACCAGGTAAGGTTTTCTTTATGTATTTCAACATTAAATTAAAGAACTGTTTTGAAATGTTTAGGACATATTCTAATTTGGGAATTTTTAGTTTTTAAATGAAGATGCTTTCACGTGTTTAATGCTCTTACATTCTAAAGTCACATTCCTTGTTTTTCAATTGGCAGTTTTCTGTCTCTATCCATCTTCTCTGCTCCAACCAACAAATATGGGCATATTTCAGCAGCCCTCAAAACAGGAGTGGAAAAGTACGATACCAACACAGCCATCTTTAATTATTGCAGATGTCTGTGATCAAATGAAGTTAATATTAAAATTAATTCATTTGCATTCAGGGTATCTTGAAAAGTAAAACTAAAGTGAAAGGCATACATTAGATAGGCAGGCAGCAGATTAAATTTGAAAAGGAAATAAAGGTGCAGTTCATATGAAACAGTACTGCAAAACCTGAGTAATGTGTAACTAGTTTCCACTGTGGTTTGAATGGGAAACAGAACATTGGCATTCCAAATCTGTCATGTATTAACCTAATTCAGAAGGTCGTTAATGAATCTTCTGATTATGGAGTATTTGATAGTTCTTTTGACTAACTATATTCTAAAACAGCAGTAAGGAGAGTGAGGCAAACTTATTATTCTGAATTAAAAAATCTTGTTTTCAGAACTCACATTCATTTTTGATGAGACTGTAGTAGTTTAGAAGCTATGCCTAATATCTGCGTCTTTACACTGACTAGTGTGCATTCAGAGAAGTCAGTCTTGTTCGATAGCTTTCCTCAGTGCTGGGTCAAGTACTGTACCACCATAAAAACACAAGACAGGTTACGAATGAGAGGAGCCATTCAGCCCATTTGATAGTATTTAATTGATCCAAGGATCTCATCCAGTGGCTTTGTGCTGTACTTGTTTCAGCAACATGGTTGGACACCCTGTATTTCCAGCCCAGAAGATGTTCATTTGTCATTTTGTGATATTATTGTCAGGCAAAGCGAAGATTCTTCCATCTTAAAAAGTACTGGTTAATTCAAAATCATACAGTTCTGATGTACTCTTCTCATGTGCTTCATTTAAATTCTATTTAACAGGTCGACTCTTCATCTGCTTAGAATTATTTAGCTTTTCAGGTTCAATAAAAATCTCTGAACAAAGTCTGTGATGATGCTTCTATAGAATCTCTTTTTTTCTCCTTTTTAATTGTAGAGAGAAATAAAACTCCAGTTTCCCAGTTTGAAGAAGTCCTGGACCTAGCTGCCACTACGAGTATGGCCTGTGCACAAGAACACTCATTTTCGGCTCTCACAGTTAGGGGGCAACGCAACTACAGAAGACCGTCTTACTTACTAATCCATCCATCTTCGAACTGCTTTACCCAGTTCGGGGCTGGGTGGGTGCCGGAGTCTGGCCTGGCCAGCAGTGGGTGCAAGGCAGGGTACACCCTGGACAGGACGCCAGTCTGTCACAGGGGTCAGAGAGACACTAACATGCACACACAGAAATATTTGAATGAAAACGTAGGGTTACAGACCATGCTCTGTAGAAGATCCATAGTTCCTTTATTAATATAATAAAATAATAAACTTTATTTTATATAGCGCTTTTAAAGGTGGCTTCTCAAAGCGCTTTACAGAATGACAACAACAATAAATAAAAAGGATACACAAGATAGAACACAATTACAATACACAGAGGAGACAGTAGATGGTGGTACTAAGTATAGTAGGAGCAGAGGGGTAAAGAATGGAATCAGTTAAGTAAAGACTCTTTTAAAGAAGAACGTTTGAGTCTGGGTTTGAAGGAGTTTAGAGAGGGTGACTCTCTGATATCCTTGGGCGGAGAGTTCCAGAGCTTGGGGGCAGAACAGGAGAAGGCCCTGTCACACATACAATGTAGATGGGTTCTTAATCCTTAATGGGGGACAGTTAGGAGACCAGAATTAGAAGAGTGAAAGTTGCGAGATGAGGAGTAGGGCGATAATAATTCAGACAGGTACTGAGGTGCCAAGCCATGCAGAGCCTTATAGATGAGCATGAGGATTTTAAAGTCCACATGGAATTTGACAGGAAGCCAGTGTAAGGACTCTGAGGATAGGGGTAATGTGTACACTTGCACTAGATCTGGTCAGGATTCTGGCTGCCGTTAAGTTGGCAATATATCAGTTTAAAATGGCTTTTGATAAAGGAAGCACAGAAGATATTGCCTGTTCTTTAGGAATTGAAGCCCATTGCAGGCCACACACAGACAAAGATACACTCATACCAGGGCCAGTTTTCCCAGATGCCAGTCAACCTTTCAGCACGTTTTTGGACTGTGGGAAGAAATTGGAACACCTAGAGGAAACCCACACAAACACAGGAAGCATGTACCAACTCCACACAGAGAGGACTACAGGAACTGGGCCCAGGGCCCCAGCACTGCAAGGCAGCCATATTAACCACTGCGCCACTGTACTGTCCGTTACTTGCTAAATAAACCCTAAAATATCAACTAACAAAGCAAACCAGTATAGCCTTGACACATCAAGATTTAAACTAAAGAAAGATACATTTACAGTTTGCAAAGGAATAACTCTTCAAACTGAATCCCAGAGCTCCACAATCCTGTTAGTTCATAAACTGAAGGCGTCTGGAACAAGCTACCCAACTATGTTGTGGAAGGCCTCTTCAAAGCTGTAGCTGTTCTTAAATTCTTAAAGGTCAAGAATTGGTGCTACTTAAGAGGCACAAGTAGTTATGTATAGTCCACGGTTTGCATTAATATATTAAAAACCTAATGGATACTTCCATTTCACAAGTTACTGAAATTGGAATCCAGACATTCCTAAACTCTGATTTATGCAGGACAATCATCTCATGCTACCAATGAGTATTAGATGTGTCACCCAGTTCAAAGGCCAACACTAATAAACCTCAAACCTGTCACCAGAGGTTCAGCTCAGGTCAGCTGGTGATTTGGAATGAAGAGTTAAGCTGTGTAAACAGAACCCTAAGCCACCCCTCAAAAAATGAGCCCCAATCTTTCACAGTTGTCAAATATTCCGTTGTAAAATCACTTTGATTTATAATACCAATTTTCTCAAGTGTCCATTCATCCTTCTTACAGGCTATCAGCATGGTGCAGTATTCCAAATAAAAGCACAGGGACATGACTTTTGCCATTTCTGTCTGTACAATGTGTACACACTGGATTCCTGTCTGTACGATGTGTACACACTGGATTTAAAATTAGAGCTCTGTTCTGCTTATTTCTAGGACTTGTTCCAAAAGAGCCACCACACTTTAATATGTACAGTATCCGCTTTCCTCTCTGGAATAAAACAATCCTATTAGAAGATTCAAATGCAAATTTAAAGGAAGGATGACAAAATTAAATATAGGATGAGACCCATGGATGAAGTAACAATCTATAACCATAGGAGCTAAATGGGACGAATTGCATCTTCTATGTAACCACTCTTACGTTCTCAATAGCTAAAATATAAAGCCTTTTTTTTTCAGATGAAGAACAGAGCGAGGAACCTACATCTCATCCTGAATCTGAAGCAGAGAGAGTAGAAGGTAAGATAAGCAATGAAAACACACACTGTAAAACCCTTTGGGAGACAAAAAGCGAGTTACAGTAAAAATAGAAAAGATCTTACCCCAGCACCACGTTTTAGCTGAGGATACGCTGTGAGATATCTGAATTCAGAAGCATCTTCCATTGGGAATCATCTGTCAGGTGACTCAGACTGATACTTGTAAAACCTATAAAAACCCTCTTTTATCCCCTTTCAACAGGTTCTGAACATTCCCAGTAACTCTATTAATATTTATACAATGTTTTGAATTGCAAGATAAATAATAAGATTGCTGCCGTTTCATAAAGCAGTGATTTCAGAAAGAAATCTGTGCATGTCTACAGGATATGGAATGTTTTCCTGAAGGAGTAGCTTCTGGGATCTGATTTTAATATACTGTACAACATGCACATCTGCTCTGTGTTTTCTCCACAGAGAGGAGTAATCCTTCCTGCAGTGAAGGCGAGCGCTCACCGGGGACAGACAGTAAGTAACAAGCAGTCACGACAGGAGTCTGGGTGTGGGAGGAGAGCTCAAATCTTCCAACTGATGTACTAATACCTGCAGGACTGTTTTCTAAAGTGATATTGACTTTATCCATTCAAGAGGATGGATTCCTCCAGAGTCTGTAAAGGCACTTGCCTGAGCTCTGTGATACTGGGATCAAAGTCTAGGTTCTTGTGATACTGGGGTTCAAGCCTGAGCCTATTGATATTGGGGACCAAGCCTGGGTCCATGTGATATGGGGGTTCAAGCAGTACTTGGCCACTAGGTAAACACCAAGCCAGGCTGTGCTGCCTGTGATGTGTTAAAAGACGAGTGACGAGGAGCTCAGGTGGGTCAGAGGAGTCTTACTGCACTTCCTCTTTCTCCCCTGTGTGAGACGGGGCTTGTCACTGTATGCCGAGAGGTGAAAAACACAAACATTCCTCACATCCTGTGGGTACAACTAAAATGATGAACAATTCTTAATTCATTCATAAAAGAAAATCCAGGAAGGCAATGCAGACCAATTATTCTGCATTAATAAGGAAACTAGACTTTCTATTGAGTAGTAGGTGATTAAACTTCTATGGAGCTTCACCTTGAACTGTATTCACATTATGTAGCACGAAACTCCCACAGCTCCTCTTACCACTCCCCTGCTGTGAATACAAATTGTGTAACAGTACCGGTAACTGTCCAGACCCCTACGGCTCACATTGCAATTGATAATTCAATAAGTTCTCTCTTTGATTTCTGTAGAGACAGAGTAATGTTTTTCGCATCTAAAGTAACTCCCATGAGAAATACTATTAAAAAAGCTTTTGAGTTAAGTGTCATCATGATCTTGTTTCTGCAGTAACATCACCTCACCATTTGTGACATCTTATTTAATTAGAAAATGACTAACATGACAAATACTGCCAGTTTCAAACTGCTGCCTTTTTTTTTTTGTTTGTTTCAGAGGCTGAAGAGGAATCATAGCGCAAAGCCTTCAGATGATGATTCATTTTTTCATAGAATCACTGAAATGTGTATGAAAACAGAATCAGCACTTTCTATCCCTATATATCCTGAAAATAGAATGTAAAGAAGCCAATTAGAAGTAATTATTTAAATTATAGTAGCTTGTATCAATACAGTATATCATTATTGGTGTCACTTCCTTAGTCGTAATGAACTGGCATCCAGTTTATTAAAAATGTTTCCTACTATTGTGTTAAAAAAACGAAGCAAAATTAAGCAACCATAAACCTACTGTAGTTTCACCTCTGATAATGTGACAAAATTCAAATTTCATCGACACAATCTTAACAAGAAATAAAACCTACAGCACACAACTTTTCAATATATTATTCCATCCAGTTTTACCCCTGCAAGACACTTTGTGCAGTGACCCTGTTGTCTAATCAAAACTTGAAGGCATAGCTTTTTTACTGTTTTTTTTAATTACTCAAGTCATGTTTTTTTTTTTCCCCCATTCTAGGCTCTCGTCCAAAAGAACCATGTGCATATAATGAAATAAAAATAATTGCTATGATATCCACTCTCCTTGAAATATACCTTGAAATAACAACAGAAAGCACAGAAGAAAGATACGCTAAAAACACTTACTTGGATATAATAGGAATATATTTCTTTTATGTAGCACTTTTCATTCCAAAGCACTTTTTCACAGATAGGAAGGGACCCACTTCATCCATCATACAGCTCCCACCTGGGTGGGAGCCAGCAGACCCACTGCACAGCAGATCAGCTGGCGACATGAAAAATTGTTCCAACAACTGAACTAATGCAAAACATTAGGCAGGCCAGGCTGTCGAAGCTCAGAGTGGAATTCATCTAAGATGTGGCTAACACACATATTCTTTCAAACAGAGCTGTGGGATTTTTAGTGACCACAGAGTTGACCTCCATTTACCGTGTTTTCAAAAGGATGGCAACCTTCACAGCATAGTGTCCCCTCTCACCATGCTGTCTCTTTTCAGTAACCTGTTTTTCCGTGGAGGTCTACCCAGTAGACCAGGAATCAGCCTGGTCAAAATTCTGAGATCCGAAGAGATCAGGCTCCATATTGAACTAACAATCTCATAAGATTACCATTTGGTGAAGATATGATCTGTAGATGAGATTTGTGTTAGCTTACAGTTTTACTGCATTAGTACTAAATTTGTCCCAGCTCCACAGGTCTTCTAATATTATTGCTCACATTATTTTATTATAACTAGATTTCGGTGATACAGTAGTTCCATTTAAACAGTCCTCAGGGTATCCTGCCACAAGCATAATTACGTAAGTGAAATAAGGATAAAAATAAAACCACAGGAAGGAGGAATACGGATATAACAAAAATAAACATTTATTGGACACCAAGAGCAAAATTTCCCTTTTTATGAGAAAGCTGAAATTGACTTCCATTGCAATTTTGTTTTTTTTTATCCTCTGTAAGGACTACAAGGTCAACAGCTCAACACTACGCACTGTAACAAATGTCATATTATAAACTATCAATTAAAATAATTAAGGTTTCTTAAATCTTAACGGAAATATCATTTGGAAGACAAAATACTTGCATTTTGGTTTTATTACCTTTACATAAGCCCAAAGCATGGATAAATCAGTAAAATCGCAATATTTTAATTATGGCGGAATAAATAAAGAACAAAACAGGGGGGTCCATGTTGTCAACAGCTCACAAGAAGTTAAGGCATTACGTTGGACACATGAGCATCATAACATTATACATACTATACATTTTATGTTACATTAGCAGTCAACAAACAGAACAACAAATCATAAATTCTTATCAATTCATAAGTAAAGTCTTTAAAATGACAACAATAAATAATTTAAGAGAATCGAGTTCCGTGCTTCGCACACGAGTCATTTAACAGCTGAGCTGGAAATGGGTCAGAGATAAGCCAATTACGCACACACAAAACTTACAGCAGTATTGAACTATAAGTGACTGAATTAAACTTTACCACTTACATGTATTGACTCCCAGCATGTTTTCTGTATGTCTAACCTCTTCCGGGATAAAAAAGAATGAGCCGGAAAGTCTGCCGAGTAATGAAGTAACTTGCACCAGTTTTCAGTTACTGGTTTAAACCAACCCCACCGTTTACCAGGTCAGCTCTTAGAGACCAGGTGCACAAACATCTCTCATACCGCATAAGAGTTTACTTCAACTACATGATTTTAACAAAGGAGGATGCCTTGCATCTTGATGGGTGATTGCTAAGGCACATTCAGTTTCTTGTGCATTCTAACCAGCAGGACAGAGTTGCTTGGCATCAATACTGCCAATCTGGAATTCCAGAAACCAGGAGCTAATAGCAATATATACTGTAGTGAGGAGACTGTTCTAATACGACAGCCAAGCAAAACTGAGACTGTTCAGTCTGAGACTGTCCTTGATCTGAATTTGAGAAGATCTGGGATACAACCTCATATCTCATTCCTTTTTGAGGTCAGACACCCTGTATGGAACTGCAGCAGACCTGAGCTGCTCCTGCAGGACAGGGAGAGTGGCAGGAGTGACATTGTCATTGTTCACCAGGGCACCATAGGAGAAAGAGCCATTGTAGTCAGGTTGAATAGCCCGTCCCTTATCATGTATAGTTGGGAGGCCTGCAATCAGGGGAAAAAAATATCTGTAAGCTAAAAAGCCTAGGACTCCATATTGTACTTCAGGAAGCAAAGAAATGAAACATCAGATTCTTTGATTTACTTCTGATCACAGCTCCAGGCTTGTGAGTTAAGTTCCAACTTGGGGCACCTGTCCATGTGGAGTTAGTATGTTCCCCCCCAGTGTTCTGGAAAACTCCTCATGGGTTTTTGCCGAGAGCTCCAGCTCCCCAAATTATGAGGGTTTAGGTTTTATTGACTACTCTAAAATATTGCTGTCCAGTGGGATTTTCAGGTTTGTTCCCAATAAAATAAAGTACTGGCTAAAGGATTAAAGGCATGGGCAGTTTGGCGAGATGCAGTTAATTATGGCTGACTGTGTCTAGTGTGTATCATGTTCAGCTGACAGAGGAAGTGTTAGTGAGTCATGATAAAGTCATGCCATATGGTTAAACACATCTCAGCAAGCAAGCAGAAGATGGAGAATGTTAAACAGATGTCATGAAAACTGGGCTAAAAAATAACCTGAAGACCATCTGACTACATTTTTTATAAGATTAGATCTTAATCTTTTAATGTTGTCTTAATCCTAAATTCAATACTACTAGATGATTGCCACGGCTTTAAATTAAATCTTATTTCCTGCCTGTATCATAGAGAGAATTTAAATCACCTTAATGCCATGAACCAGAGATGTTGGTTTACCACACAGGGTCTCCTAACTGTCTTTATGCAAAGCCCTGTCTGCCTCCACAGCACACACTTCTGCAATTATTATGTAAATCCAAGCTGCACAATTTGTCCCCACTGGTTCCAGGTTAGTGCACTGCCACAGCTGCAGGTAAGGCACAGTACAGCTGAGCTATAGGAGAAATGATCTCTGCCAACAGCTGTGCCAAAAAACCATGAGGATATCGCTGAGCTGGAGACTAGCTCATTAGAAACAAATTCTCACCTTTAAGTTGTGAAAAGAATCTTGCTAACTCTAAAAGCTAACAAGGGAATTGCAGATATAAGAAAGTGTGACTAGATATGCAAGCCTCTGCAAAAATGTTACTAAATTTCTCCTATAAATCACACAATTATATTGTTACTGCTTAGGACTTATTGTCAAAAAAACATTGTTACCATTTTATTGCATTTTAATTTAGATTTAAAAATAAAAGGCTTCGGAGCCTTTTACATTTTTTAATTCACATCATTAGTATATAAGTATACATTGAAACATTATATACTCTAGACTTATGTGAATTAATCTGTAATCATTAAAACGATGGTGTGAGTCCTGCACTGAGGAGGCTCCCATGCATTTACCTTGCATGACATCCATTGTCACATAGGGTTCAAAAGCCTTCGACTTCTTCCTGTTCCTGGTGATTAAGAAGACGCCTAAAAAGGCAATTAAGCATCTGCAAAGATGATAAAAGGCATTTTCTGATGAGCACAGGTTCGCAATGCATCATCTCAGTAACATAGATCCTCAGTAACATGATTCGACATAAACGCACAAGTCAGACTTTGCCAATGGGTTTCAACAAAAGCAGCAGGACTACTGAATTGGACTACAACAGCAAGGGACTAAAGCCTGGAGATCTCATCTCATTCACTCTGCCTCTTCCTCGGTAATCTAAGGAAAAATACAGGTTTATTTCCATGCTGAAAAGAGAAGAAAGAAAACACAACGTTTCGGACGTGGAGCCTTCTTCAGGTGCGAGGAAGGCTGCTTCTTAAGGAAATGTGCACACCTTGTATATATAAATGTACAAGTAAACATTTTCCCCAAGTTATTTAGACAAAAACACTAAGTATTATCATATTTGACACCACACACACACACACACTAAAAGCTTCTGCTCCCTTCTGCTAAACATTACACTAGACAAGGATATGATTTATACTGTACATACCCTAACAAAAACATGCAAATGTGCAGTACATCTTCATGGTTAAATTCCAAGTAAAATATTGCTCCTAAAGCAGAAAGAGAAAAATCAGTAAAAAAAACAAACAAACAATCAAAACATGAATTCTCTCATTTAAGTCGCAGGAATCAAAACATTTTTGAGATTTTGATTTAAGGCAAGCAGCTGTTTTTCACAAAGGGGCCAAGACCTTTATTAAATGACTCAAAAAATTAAAAAGGTGCAGTTAATTAAAACAACAATACACCAGGAGTACTCAAACTTCCATTCTATGCCAATAAAAGGACTTTCCAATAAATTAATTGCTCAAATCTTCCTATATTGCTCAATTAACATAGATGCTATGTTAGTATAGATTCTTACTTCAATAATTAAGGACTAGCTGTAGCTGCTTTGAAAGTGCCAAAGCTGACCACTGGTATATAACAGTTATCTGACACTGGCATGCATGCTAAACAAGAGCCAAGCTTCCCAGAACTAAATTATATATGTTTCATACAAACAGCTCCATAAGCCAGTACTACAGTATGAAGGCCACAGTCAGAAATCATAAGATCTTGCAAATGCTGAAGCTACTATGCACAAAAGGAGTGGCAACCTGTGGAACTATATAGGACATATATACACATTTATTTATATACATTTACTTAGGCCCCTAATGTTTCGAAACACCTTCCTCCAAAAATGAGAGCTAGGACGTGGAGGAAATAAAAATGTCTTCAGACTCATCCATTTTCTAGCTGTCATTCCCAGCAAGCAACGGGCTCAAGGCAGGACACACCCTGTATGTTGTGCCAGTCACTCAGAGAGCAGGCACAAAGCAACACACATCACACCAGGGCTAATTTACCCAGAAGCTAATTAACCTACCAGTATGCTCCAGGGCTGTGGAAGGAAACTGGAGCACCCGGAGACAAATCCCACAAACACGAGTAAAACATACTAACTCCAAGCAGACAGCGCCCCAGGTCTGGAACTGAACCCAGGGCCCTGTGCAGTGAGCTTGCAATGCTAAACACTGAGCCACAATACCTCCCTACGGTTAGTCTTTGCACTACAGATAAAAATGATTTTCCTTACCAGCCGAGACAGAAAAAGACGTTGACAAAATATAATTCACACTGGCAATCAGTGAGGATTCGTATAGATGTGAGGCTTGAGTCAGGAATCTGAAAGACAGAGGCGGTATGAAAACAGAGAACAGGACATGCTGGATTTGCAGAAGGCCTTGAATATTGAATTTCCTCAGTCCAGCAGGGTTTATAAGCATCTCCGAACCTTAATGTCCAAACTAAAAGGCTTAAAGTCAGATGTTTGTGATGCCCTAATATAGAAGAGCTTCAACATTGGCTCATCCAGATCTAAAAGCAAAAGGCAAATTCCTTGAAATTCGGCACAAGGCAATAAAACTTCTCAGTGTATTCGCAGCTGCAGGGGACAACTGACTGCCTTGCTTGTTCCGAATGGACGCTTGGTTAACTTACGTTGCCTGAAATACAGCCGTCGTCACCATGCACACAAGCATGACGTAGAAGATGGGGTAGTTCAGTTGCATGCTTCCTTGTGCTGTGAGAACAATCATGCCAGACACTGCCTTAACTGTAATAACGGTCATGGAGCCTGGGGAAAGAGCAACGATTCACTAGCTATTAAATGTAACCCTTTGGAAATTACACAATACAGCATGAGTGTTGGATGTCGAAATTTCCTCAGCAGATGACTTTTGCTCTTTCCGACAGCATACTGGTTTTAAGATTGTCTTTAAAATGCAGTTGACCACTTTTTTTTGCAATCACAAATGTACAATTAAAAATGTAGAAAATAGTCATACATACCTAGCAATGCTACCAGCAGGAGAATAACTACAAGGAAAACTGCTTTCCTTTGCTTGTAAAAAAATAACAGGAAGCAGAAAGCGATGATTTCCAGAAGCTAGAATAAAGACATCAACAAAGAAAATTGACCGATATTCGATTTGGTCAGTTTTAAAACAACTGTATTTAACCATGAACATCAAATATTCTTTCATTCAGTAATGTCTGTGTAGCATAAACACTTAAAGGACCTACATTTTCATATTTGACCATGTCTGAATGGGAAAGCTTATGGCTGAAATTCTAACACCCTGACCATGACGTCCTGACACAGAAAGTCCTGTTTACACAGAATCAGATAAAGTACAGATGTTTTCTTATATTTGAAAGTACGACTGTTGATAAAGAAACTGAAAATCACAAAATAATGTAGGGATGGCATATTTTAATTGTTAAACCTTCTCTGACACGTAACGAAATGAGCTTCTTCTACTCCTGAAATAGTTTACAGTTGTGTTACTATTTGTCTAACATTTGTAATTTGTATAATTCTTCAATTGTACACAGCAAAAGGATTAAGGTTTCAGAAACAGAGCAAATGTCTGTTGTGACTGAATGTAAATAAAACACAGTTTACATAAAGATTATAGATAGCATAAACTCACCGGTGAATTTCCACATTTTATGTGGAAATGGCATTTTGTCTATCTGAAGCACAGCCGTTCAAAGTTTGACTTTAAAAAAAAAAGGAAACTGAAGAGAAAACATGCTTACCAAATACAAAAGGAATGGCCAGCCTATGACATGCTTTATTATATTATCTGCAGTCAGTTTCTCATGAGTGTTGGGCCCAAATGTTACAAACAGGTAGGTCCCCACCACTGTCAAGGCACAGCCTAAAAAGGATAAGATATAGCGTCCTACAGGGGGTGGAGACACAGGAGAGAGTAAGAAAGAAGTTTTCATGCTGGTTAGTAATGCCAACTGTAAAAGAATGAGGTTAATGCTAATGAATGGCTGACAGACTTTATCAGCTTATAAAATGCATTCTGTGCCTCCTTCATGTGTCACAATGCTGTGTCACTGATGTATTCTTAACTTCTTCCTGTCCCTGTATTTTTAATAATTAGCAGGAGCGGGGTAAGGACTTTAGACATATTTAAATTTCAGCAGTTAGGGTTTAGAAATGTTTAAGATTCATTACAAAACACAAGCAGAGTGTTATTCTAATACCATAATAAGAACAATACACATTTTAAAATGTCTTGTTTGTAAATTGTGATTTTTCAATCAAAAGCAAGCATGATGACACCCAAATGCAGAAGAGAACCCAGATTAATTAACTCACTATTTAAGTAAAACTACAATTTTGAAAAATATCTAATATAAAAGACACTTAAGGTGTTTAACAGAAACAGATTAAAGTTTTGTATAATAATACATAAATGATGCATCTTTTTTCCCCGTTATAATTGTCTCTCATAATGTGAAAATAGTTTTCAAGTAGCTTGGCACCAGATGAATTCGCAGCCCTACAATATAGGGCCATCGTTTCTGGCTGAGCTTGAATCTTTTAAAGCCACTGTCACTGTAGAGATCAAAGAGAAATTTCACTAACTGCTGCTGAACAGAGGGAGTAAAGATGGCTCCAGGGGAAGAAACAGCAGCAGGTATATCCATGCAGTTTGAAAGTGAAAAGTTTAAAATTGTTTACTGAAGACATTACTTACTTAGAAATTCCTTGAATTTCCATTTCTCCCTAAGAAAGATGAATCCTAAAATCGAACTTGCTGTGGAAAGAAAGAGCACAGTTCAGTGGTAACGCTCAGAACAGTACAGTCGGTGTGAACCCTAAAGATCGACACACAGGAGACAGGCGTGGTGAAAATGAAATTGTTTCTGCCTGGCATCCTCCTGTGCTCCTGGCGCCACTTTTAAAATGGCACAAGGGAACGAACTTCTGCAACCAGACAAAGAAAGCTTTAACAAACAGTTTTACCACAGAACATCGCAGTAAATAGACATACAAGAAGACATTGCAAAAAGAAAAAAAAACAAAGTAAAACAAAAATCAGATGCTGAAGACAAAAAATGTGGAAGTTTCGGATCGTCCTTTTCGTCCCATCATGTTAAACGAGCAGCAATGCCCCACCCTACACAGTGCTTGGAGTGATGGGTACTGTACGATACGATAGGAGCGGAGCACCTCTACCATACATGTCATAAGCTCACTCCCCATACTTTCTATCCCTTTATTTTATTCTGTTGATGCATATTTTTGCACATAACCTGTTACCTTTTTGTTGTTTTGCACATTGCCTGTTGTTGTTTTTTGCACATTGCCTGTTGTTGTTTTTTTGCACATTGCCTGTTGTTGTTTTTTTTTTGCACATCGTCTGTTGTCTCGAACTTTCTTTTGCTACACAATTGTATTGTTGTTGTTTTCTCTTTGTACTACTTATGTCCGAGAGCTAGCTAAATAGCATTTCATTATACCATATACCATGTATATGAGTGTAATGACAATAAACTTGAACTTGAACTGGCTCTGTGGCTAAGATCTGCGCCTGTGGCTGGAAGGTTGCCAGTTCAAATCACGCAGCCGGCAGAGGAATCCTACTCCGTTGGGCCCCTGAGCAAGGCCCTGAACCCCAACTGCTCCAGAAGCCATATAAATGGCTGACCCTGCGCTCTGACCCCAAGCTTCTCTCCCTGTCTGCATGCTCATGGAGAGGGTCTGCGAAAAGACAAATTCCTAATGCATGACATTGTATATGGCCAATAAAGTGATCTTATACCTATGACAGACACAGCGTTGAGAGGCGCCACCAGCGAGACTGGAGCGAAGGCGTATGCCACGAAGATGCCCACTTCTCCGAGGAACGAGAGCACCAGTCCAAGCCACCATGTCTTGGTGTGGTAAAAAGGCTGTGGCTCCTTTGTCCCAGCAAGATGCACGTGGGCGTATTTCTGCAGAGGGAGAAAAACTCGGATGGAAAAACACTTTCACCCACTAATATAAAGGAGGCTTTTTTGAGAATTGACAGCGATTGAATGCAGTCAACAGGATTCTACAAAAAAAAGAGGCCTTCCAGTGAAATTCCTGGACAGAGGTACTGTCCTAATCAGATACACCTGCCTCAGGTTACATGTCCAGTGACGAAACAGTGTGCAAATAAACTTCCTGCTGTGTTGCTGGTGTTCAATAACACAAGTCTCAAATGTTACATGTAACTCTGGTATTTTACAGAAGAACATCAGCATTCAGAGACTTGACACACCATCACTGATTCATTGCTTTAAAGCACCAGAGCCTGACAAATGAACACTCACCTGCACACTCAGTGAAATACTGATGAGGAGGTTTCCGAATATAGCTAGCAACGTTCCAATGAGATTCTCCTGCAAATCACATAGCAAAAACAGTGGCTTAATACCTTCAAACACAAGATAAATACAGAAAAAAACATGCAAGCATTACAGTTATATTACAATTTGATGCATTACAATTATAAAGCCTTCAGAGGGTTAAAGACCTATACAGTAATAGCACAGATATTTGTAACATTAGCCGAAAGAGGCAATGGATGTTTCGTTTCATATCATTTCCGTTCCGAACTCACACGCAGCAACAAAGCCTTTGCTTGCCAGTAAAGATGAAATATAGGCAGAGCTTTTTTTTTCCCTAACAAAGACATCCTTTTCAGATAGCATGCCCTGATTACCTTACCAAGCTCTCTAACACACACATATCCCAGTACTGAGCTGTTTCACTGAACCGTTATAAACAATACCATAAATATTGTTCGCCCAAGACATCATTATTGAGTTCACTGCCAATTAATACAGCATTGTCTTGGCTGCACCACTGAATCTCACAACATTGTTAACTGACAGGAAGGAGGTGTGGCTCCGGTGTGAACTCCCGTCATTTTCAATAACATCAGGGAGTGTAAACAAGTACTTCCAGGCTACAAGTCCTTCACAGGGACATGGAGCTGTACATTTATTGCACACAGTAAACTGGCTGTGCTCAGACTTTCAGCAAAGTAGGGTAACATTTCCTGAAACTCAGGATGGTGCACGATAGCAATGACGGCAACAGAGATAAGCAAATCCTGGCTCTTTTTCAATGCAAATCTTTAATAGGTCGTCCCACTGGTTCGGCAGTCACAAGAATTAAGATGGGGAAAACACTGTGTTCTGTCCTGACAAGCAGAAAGTACCTCATCCAGGACAATTAACCAATCAGAAAATGTCCACAACAAAACGCGCTGCTATACATACACTGTATATACAATTATGGGCATACAGCTGAAGATGGAGGATAAAGCCTTCTAATTCCAGTTTGATTTTTAATTTTATATTGAGGAAAAACGAGTTGTCAGTTGCACTTTATCAGCTAAACACGTCGCCTACAGTTATTCTGTGAACTGTGTCTGTATTTAAAAATACAACGTGACATAACAGCGGCGGGGCTGCTGCGTACACTTGCATGAATGTTTTTTTTTAACCAGCCATTTCCTCAGATACACAGCGCGGCGTCTGCACATAGCCGGTACAATATCTTGCAAAGCAACCCGCAAGTCCGCGCTCGCCATTATTTCCGAAGGCATTTAAGCAGTTTCATTGCGGGAGCTAGTGTACGCGTATTGTCACGACTGCATGACGATGCCTGTGCCGTTTCCTCCCTGATTGAACACGACTATTACAGCAAGCATCAGCACGCAACACTGGCACCCCACCGAAAGGTGAAATTACGCATTACTCAGTACTCATCAACGGTCACTCAATTCTGGCCGGAGCTGATAAAACTGTGCCTACCGTGTAAGAGGATTCCTTCCCAGAATCCTGGAAAGTTTGTACTTGCTTGAGTATGACGTCGGCGTCGTGTGCCACTTCCATTTTTTATTTCTATTTCTTCTTCTTCTTCAGCAGCTGTCCTGACAACACACGTACATCGGCACCGAGGGCATCTTCCGTTTAGCTTTGCTGACCCGCAGCCTACAAAAAGACAGCCACCGAGAGGTGTCCTCAGTACCGCAGAACCTCACGCCATCTTTGAAACGTTGCTCAGCTCAGCTCACCTCCTACCTGCCACAGGTTACAGGAAGGACCCACCAGGCGCAGCGGCAGACGGGGGGAGCCGATCTATGCCGTCATCACTGCCGGGCAGGTGCGGCGGCTGTCTGCGGAGCTCGGGGTGCGCTCAGCCAATCAGGAGCCGGCCGCCGGCTGACGTCAGCGGTGCCGGCACGTCAGAGCTCATAGCCGGGGAGCGCTGCTGAAGCCCAGGCTCCCCAAGCCGGTTACTCGCCGCCGGCTGTCGCAGTTACTCCGCATCAAACGCGGTTCGCCCGGGCGTGAGCGGAGGAGGTGTGTCTTAACAGCCCTCCGTCGTAGAAATAAAGAGGAAAGAGAACGAGCCGCCGCGGACCTCCACTTGCATTTGGTTCGGTCGCGGCTTGGGCGAGAACTCATCCGGTCTCAGCCGAATTGCAAAATTACACGACGCCTTTAAGCGTTAACAATAATATTATCACCCCCTCCCACATGTTTCCTTTAAAACGCATGATCCGAATGGGCAGGTTCACCATCAGTTTTGTCCGGGGCATGATGACGCACATTACCGGTTCCTGGTGTCGAGTATCATTGCAGCGCCTGCATCGGTCTTTTTGAGGCGTTTCAAGCATCTAGGAACAAAACATCCGATTGTACGGGCGAAGGTCGCAGCAGCATTTACAAGATATACTGTAGGTGGGAGGGGAAACCTCAGCACCCGGGGAATTTTCCACGTCGACCGGAAAAGAACATGCGGGTTCCACACCGAAGGATCCCAGCCCGGTCTGGAACCCAGGAGCTGCGAGGCACTATTTACAACGCGGCCATGTTCTCATGCAGAACTGAAAGCATTTCTTTTATTGAGTCGGCGAAAACAAGTTTCCAGCAGCTGAGCGATCTTCGGGTGTAAGGGGCACTTTTGAAAGAGACTGAGGAGAGAAAATCTTCAGTTTTCTCTTTTCTGCGTGGAGTTCATTCAGCTTCTACGTGCTACTCTGAGGCTGTCGCTCCCGGCTCGAACGTTTTTACTGTGTTGCTTCTTTTCAAGCGGTTTTACTTGTCATGTCGTGTCATTTCCCAAACCGCTGTATATCCTACGGTGTCGCGGGACGCCGGAGCCTACCAGGCAGGCAGCGAGCGCAAGGCAGGGTACACCCTGGACAGGACACCAGTCCATCGCAGGGCAAGGACAATCTGGAGGCCCCGGTAAAGGCCGAGGGGGGAATTTGGCCCGGACACCGGGATAACTC